GGCAACTAAGCACAAAGGATTAAGAAACCAAGAAGCACAGCGGACTTATGATAATCGCAGACACATGCACATTCACTGCTTTCTTCTTGTTTTGAGTGTTTTCTAATTTTCACATTAACTATAACAATTACCCAAAACCATAAATACTTAATTAATTACTGTAATCTGTGTTAAGATTTTTGAAAATTTTGCACCTCTTAATTGTACTGTAATTCTCTATGCTCGTGTAAGTTTCCCGCAGTCAAAAACTCAAATTCAAATTTGATGCATATTGCTTCAACTTTTTCTTTTATTTGTAATGTTATCTTTGTATTATATATATATATATATATATAGGTAAATAAGTATATAGATTTAACTTTCGTATATATAAACAAATCATATTTTTTATTAATAAAAAATTATATTTTTATCTAATACTTCTCCAAATTCCAATAATCTCTTAGTTGGAAAGAATGCTACATATTAAGGAAAATTATGATTTGTTAAAGATAATTAAGAAGGAAAGCAGAATGAAGAAGTTTGATTCTTTAACTACTTTTAAGTTTTCGCTTGATTGAGTTTTAAGGCAGAATTAAAGGATAATTAAGGTAAAGTAAATACCTGCATTAATCAATAAAAAGACTAAGACGCTGCATACAAGTATTTCCTTGTATCTTCTAGGCTCAATCAAAGCCATAACTGTAATCAGAGTGCTTTCTTTATCTGGTATGGTTTTACAAGTTTTATTCTTGTTCAAGTTTCAGCTCTGGTTTAGCAACATGGTTAGTATTTTTGTAGGGTTATTATTTGATTCAGCATCGTGAGAAAAAATAATACTTCATTCACATTATGTCAAATGTATTTTTTAATCATTAATAGACTAATTCAAATCGAACAACGTCAACTATTTTTAAGTAAAGTACACAAATGATCCCCCGACTATAGGACACTACTTTGTTGAATCCTCCGACTATTAAAAGTTATAAAATGATATCTGACCGTATGACACTGCTTTGTTGAACCCTTTTACTATTAAAAGTTACAAAATGATCGCTCGACTGTTTATATGTTCCAAGCTTGTCATTTTTCGTTAAAAAAATTGACGATCGTCTGAGCTAGATATTATCCTATTAATAAAATATGATCCGAGAACATTTGAGCTATATTTTATGGATTGACTATCTGTTTACATTACATCGTTGAGCCAATGCTTGAAGATAGCAACGACGATGCCACTAAACATCATTAAAATAGGATTTTATTGTATTACAATCATTATGTTAATGTCTAGTTTAGAAGACTATCAATTCTTAAATAGAAAAGGACGAATTTGAAACATATGAATAGTCGGATGATCATTTTGTAACTTTTAATAGTCGGAAGACTCTACAAAACAATGTCCTTTAATCGATAAATCATGTGTGTACTTCACCCTTTTAAATAAATAGTTACTTAACATTCGTGTTAATATTTTTCATCAAATTTATATAAATTTAATTAATATAATAATAAATTTAAACTTCAATGTTTATATCTCAACTCTTAAAATTCTAACAAATTTCCCTTTTAATATTTATAAATATGAAAATTATGTCACTTTCAAAATTAACTAATACTAAATTGATCATCTCTCTCTCTCTCTCTTTTAATTAAGATAATTTTGCCTATCCTTGAAATTGACAAGAGTTTGATGAATTTCATGAACCCAAACATTTGAAGTGTGTAGTTGGGGTTCATTCTTTTCTTGGAAAATAGTATCTTGAGCAATTGCACACCACATCAGTAACTTCGACTTAAAGAAGGCGCCATATATTGTTTTCTAGCTAAATATCTTGGAAAGAGTTCAAATGCAAATAAATAAAAGGTTTCATTAGTCTTTCATTCCATGAAACCTTGAAAGTTCAGAATTCTTTATAACTTTGCTGTTTTATAAAGATTGATGGACAGTATATTGTTCATAATAATATTTCAATCATTTATGTGTTTGAATCAATGTATACGAGGAGATGGGTATAGGAATAAAGGTATCAGCAAGTCCAGGAAGTTGATCTTTTCATGAGGGGCTTTGTCTGTTTATCTTGCTCCAGTGAAATCATACCCAGATGAGATGGATCTTCAAGCATCATTTTCGCTACTAAATACCCAGAAATGGACCATGTCTGATACTTACGAGCTTGTTTCCCCATATATCGCCCCACCTTCCCATCGTAGTACTCCGGCCAGTGGTCTTTCGACAACCGGTTCTCCGCAAGTTCTATGGCACGTCTCGCTATCTGTGGGCGCCCAGTTTTGATACAAGCAGCTGTGAGCAGCCATAGAAGCACTGCAAACACAAAGCTTTTATAGGATTTAAGGACTAATTTAGACTGTAGATGATTGTTTAGGGATGATTAGTGCAATTTACCCTTCAAAATATACCATAATGTGATGAGAAACTTAATTACCCGGCCAGGATCCTCCATTGTGATAACTCCATCTAGTATTCTTGGGGTCACATCCCGTCACAATTCGCCATTCATGGCTTTCAAGAGCTGGATAACTTATCTTCAACGGCATTTCTCCGACCAATTCTTCCCAACGTGATTCGATAAGATCCATAATCGCTGACGCCTGCTCCGGAGTCGCCAACGACGACAAAATCGCCACACAATTGCCTAAACAAAACCAACGGAAATCCATTCTCGCAGGGCTGACATTCCCAATGAAATAGCCACCTCGTGTCGGCATAAAATCGAACACCCAATGCGGCAGCGAATCCGGCATCACGTTGAACTTGTTGACCGCCGTGTGAGAGTATTCCTCTGTTTTATAGCGGTATATGTCGTTTAGTTGCTTCAGGTCCAGCCAAAAGTAATTCCTCATGTGGTAGCTTAAAGCATGGAGGCGTTTAACTATACGTTCCATGAATTCTTTGCCCTCTTGGTCTTGTTTTAGTAAAAGCAATGCACATCTTAGAGCCATGAAGAACAGTGCTTGGATCTCAATTGGATAACCATATACACCCTGGATTAGCAGAGATTTGAATAACTAAGCCAATGTATTTGAACAATGAGAGGCAATTGAGTGGGAAACAAACCATTCTGCGGTCGATCATGCAACATCCATCGGCACACAGAAGAGTCGGGAATGTGTCGAATGCTTCCGAAAGGCATAAGCTGAGTATAAGTCGCATACCCCTTTGACAGTCGGGCATTTCGGCCAACGATGAGTCTCCAGTATGCTTCGTATAAGCACGAAGCAAAATGATCCACCAGAATCCGGAATCGACAGGCGCTACTCTCCCTATTGCACTCTCGCCGAAGTCCGGGATCAAAATTTCACTGTTGGTTTTCGGATTGTGGATCACTTTGAAACTTGCTGGCATCACTCCTTCCCCTAGCTTGAACTGGTCTATCATTTTCTCCCATGATTGTAAATGAAGAGTTTTCAATAGAAAATCTTCACTATCCCTTCTTCCCCATTCATCAAAAAGGCTAAAGCACTTGGAACAAAATCTCTGACAAAAACCTGCAAAACAGGTTATGTACCTTAAAAGTTCCCAAAACAATGTTGTTATTAGTAAACGGTAGGTAATAGAAGACCTGATCATAATTGAGTTCTTCAACAGAATGATCCATTGCGGCAATAGTTCCGACTGGTTGGCCGCGGTAGTAAACGGTGGAACGTCTCAGGTTCTCCCATGCCTCGGCGACCATGGCATGAGTCTCGAAGCATGTATACGATATAGGCGTGTTGAACCCCGACCTTCTACCATGTGGAGATAGCCCTTCAAAGTGATCTATATTCTCCTCGAATGATCGGTTCCGCTCTACATTTATTGCTCTCGGTCTTTCCAACATCCTGAGGATATCGGGATCTTCAGCCTCGAATATGGTTCCGGCCGACTCCAGTGTCTTGATGTTTCCATTTTGCGAGACATCTTTGCCTAGTGGACACATTCTTGATCAATGTAAGATGAGAACAAAAGGAAAATCAGCCCAATGCAAAGGGTCTTGAGATTGAAGAACATATAAGCGAAGGCCTAAAGTTTAAGCCTCGGAAGTGCAGGAAAGACAAAACCAACAAGCACCACTTAGTATGCATCAACGTAATAGCATGCAATAGAAAGAACGGGCTATCGCCGGTTACGAACTGTAGTTGTTTGGCCGAATTGGTGTATCTTTGAGGGAGGTGGTGGCCGGCAGGTTGGAACAAGCAAATATCTTGGAAGATCAGATGGAGACTTGGGATATTCCCCCGAGAATCTTTGTTTCTAGTTAAAACTCTTTAACAAAAATGTAAATTAAAGTTGGATGAAGCTTCAGGTTTTACATGTGGAGAAATCGAGATAAAATTGAAAGACTTTCCTGCAAGTATTTAGCTTTTTTGGAAGGTATTGTTCATGGAGTCGTTAATACAGACAATATAGATCCTGTGGATTCACGTCGCATTTTATGATCCGTTTTTAGATAAAGAAGAAATATTCCCGCATTACATGGGTTTTACCAATTTAATTAAATACATTTTTTTTTTAATTTTGAAAATTATTATTTATTAATATTAGTACAATTATGAAATTTTCTTTATAATTATTTAAGAAGATCACGAATTTTAAATCATATGTGAATTAAAATAACAATTATTTAAAAAATTAAATGCTTTATTTAAAATAATAAATCATGATATTTTTTTATAAAAGTAAGTTATAAATGAATTTTAAATAGTAAACATATGAACACCCTCTGTAAATACATCCTTTAATTCAAAATTAAAATAACCATTTAATTATTTTATAATTAAAATAATATATTCTTAATTTTAATTGATAAAAGTTCGTCTTAATTTGGATTGAGAAACCATTTGGGCCGACTTTATATTTGAATGTTGATGTCGCGTCTTACAGAAGCCCAATCCACAACATTATAAACACCAAAAGGAAAAATGGTATTTGTACGTCATCGGCGCAAGTAAGTATCATCTTATGTATTTCAATTTATATACGCCGAAAGTCTGCCGCTTAATTCCCCCCCCCCCCGAAATACAGAGCTTCTTACTCAAAACACTGATAAAAAGAACCCTGAAAATTCTGCAATTAAAGATTCAACAATGGGAATGAAAACGCGTTCAACAGTCTCATCAGTGCGCGAGAAATGGGATAAAATCTTTGAAGGTTTGGTTAAGATGCTTAAATCTCAGCAACAACATCTTGAAACTCTTGCTCAAGAAAGGAAGGTTCTTGAAGATCGGATAAAGTTACAATACGAACGGTGGGCCTCTGACGTTCGCCTCTACGAAGGTCACATCTCTCAGGTAAAAGTGTTTGAATTTAGGATTTTGAAAATTTTATTTTATTTTATATGTCTTTTTGTTGTTTAGATGAAGACTTATTTGGAATCAAAAGAGATAGCGTGTGTGCTTGAGGCTGCAAAAGCCGATTTGATGTAGGATTGAAGCAAAGAGAAGATGATCTTTGCAAATTGAAATTAGGTATGTGTTTCCCCCCATGATATTTGCTTCTTTTTTCCTTTAAAAAAATAATTCAAAAGTGAGTTCTTTCATGTGGAGTTGAATTCATTGTTAAGGAGTGAGTCCATTGATTAGAAATTTAGTATTGGCGATGTTTATGTTTGTTTAATTGTTTTATTACAGAAGAAACAGAGGATGAATTGTGCAATTTCAGAGTCTGGTTTGACATCCTCAGTAAAAACTCGAAAGTATGTTTTTTATTATTTTGTTCTTTTCATAGTTTACGCATTGTAAAATTTCAAAGCTATTAATCATTTCATTATATATAGGATGTCCCCAAAGAAACCAAAAAAGGAATGCCAAGATGTATGGATTGTGGTTCAAAGTGTATTACTTCGAGTGCACTAGAAGGCGATTTACAAAAGCTAAAGCTGGAATACGAAAATCTCGCTTCACAAACGAGTTCTCAGATTGCAGCACTTACGACAGAGAATAAGTTTGCATGGAATCAGTTAAACATTCTTGAAAGTTGGTATACAGATAAATTAAACAGCAAGCAGTCTGAATTTGAAAAGACTAATAGGAAAATTGAGGTACTTATTTCCAATATGGAGGATCTGAGGTCATCTAATACTGAAAAGACGAAATAATTGAGAGATTGAAATCCGAAGTGTCTCGAAAAGAGGCTGATGCAAATAGATTAAATGAAGAAGTTTCTAAATTATCTAGGGAGATAGAGTGGTTAAGGAAGTCCAGAAGTTTTTCTTATAAACCTGTTATAAGACGATGTTCAGAAGGTGGGAGAACATGTGTTCTGGGAGGAGATAATGGTGGTAGGGATGGATTCGATGATACTACGAAGAAAGAACGATCTGCTCATGTTCCGGATATTCTGAAGGACAATGGAAAGGTACTTTGTGGTCAGTTTAGCTTAAACATTAATTGATATGATTTTGACATGAATTCTTTTAGTTCTTTTTGTATCATAATCTTCATTTGTGGCCTCTAGGACCTTAAAGTTCCCCTAAATAATTACCATTGAGAAAGTTCCTGTGCTTGATTTCCTCTATCCCTAGAATAGAACTTGAAAGTTACAGATTTACTTATATTTGTCTTGCTGGCTGAAGTAATTCATTTGATTAGTTTAATACCAAAGTGAATTACTTGCTGTTTTTATGTGAAAGATCCATTAACCAACTAAAATTTAACTTCCGTTATTGTTGTTTAGGAAAGCAGAGTTTGAAGAGAAAAAAGGATGAAGAAATACCCATTTCAGAAACTCCGAAATTTTCACTTCTACATTTAAAGTTCCCAGATTGAAAGCCTCCACTCCCAAGACAACTTGACCTCTTGTATCTTCTTGGCTTGTAACTTGTAAGTTATTCACATACATTTTATTCCATGTCTCTCATATTGTTTTGCTTCTATGTATACTAATTTCCACAAGAAGCTATGCCACCATCACGAGTCGCGACCATGCTCCAAGGTGGTAAGTTTCTGGTTATATGCTCGTCTTCCCTCTGTAATTGCACAAGGAATCACGGATTTCTGATTTAACCACTTTATGATTTATCTCTTTTTTGCAGTTCATATTTATTCGATGTAACGGTAAAAGTATGACTTTTGTTTCCAAAGTTGAGCTCGAGCTTCCTACAACTTAGACTGGGTTCAGTTTGGTATAATCACCCCCCCTCTAATCTATGAGAACAGAGTTTCTTCGATGAATCATGTTTTGAGTTCATCAATAAAGTTGACAGTATAGAATGAAGAAACACCAAGTAAATGGTTAAACTTGTTCTTCGATGTTCGAAGAAAGACAAGAATGATGAATGTTGAAATTTAAATTTGATTGCATTAAATTTTAGTATATATTATAATTTCAGATATAAAACAAAAGGCTCATATACTAATTTGGTCCGGTAGGGTGATGAGAGTTCTATAATCTTAAGTTACTTATGGTCGACTAAAGTAAAAAATAAATAAATAATTTTGGTTTGATAATTATTATCAATAGAATTTAGTGAATTGAAACTTAGATTTTACTATTTAATTCAAATTTAATATTTTACGTGTTTTGGTTTACAATAAACATAATAGTATTCAAGTAAAACACACAAATGGTTCTTTGGTTATAGAGTATTGTTTTATTAGATTTCTTGATTATTTAAAGTTATAAAATTGTTCCTTAATTATATGGTGTGTTTTTTTGAGTCACTGACTATTAAAAATTATAAAATGATCTTTGAATATTGATATATTTTCAACTTATTCTTTTTTGTAAAAAAAAAATTACAACATTTTGAATTAGACGTTAACCTGCTGATTGATATATGATAATTGTTTGAGATTTTGATATCAGGTTTTATATATCGCAGTCAATAATTTAACGTATAGTTTAAACTATTGTTAATTTTTTAACATAAAATGATGAGTTTGAAATTTATGAATAGTTGGAGTATCATTTTGTAACTGTTAATAGTCAGAAAGGACTTAACAAAACAGTACATTATAATTAAAAGATCATTTTGTAAATTTTAATGATTGTATATTTAACAAAATAATATCTTAATGTTGGAAATCATTTATGTATTTTACCCTGTATTTGAAGCCTAATTATCAACAATCAGTTAGTCTAGTGGGATGAGACACTAAGTTCCTTAAGCAAGGTTAGGAGTTCGAATCCTGACGTTTGTGAATGGAGTAAACTGGGCTGGGATGGTCGTTCTTGTCTTTACAGTACCGATTTGGATTAGTCGGTCAATAGATTGGATATCAATGATTAATTAAAAAAAAGCCTGATTGTAATTTTACAAAAAATGGCATTTTAGTCAAGTTGTCAACCAAGTCAAGAAATTAGAAAATGAAAATATAATAGTCAAATAAAAAATGGTAAAGTTTCAATTTCTTAAATTGTATTTAGAAATTTATATAATTGTTATATATTATAGAAAATTAAAACTTCTTGACAGAGTCATGTAGTATTTTTTGAGAGTATCACATCATTCCTTTCTAAAAAAAATCGGATGAAATAAAAATGCAAACGATAAAATACGTTAAGGTGACAGTATACAAATGTTAAGTACATAAAGTAGACAATGATCATACTTCAGGGGTTATTTTAGGTTGAAGCCTTTATTTTTTAACGGTTCAGATCTTGCACACCCTTAATCTAATGGTTGATATTTCACCTCCAATAACGTTCAAATACCATTTTTACCATTAAAATTAAATGTCGGCCCAAACTGTTGAGGCCTTTTCCTGGTTACCGCACTCTCCATAATTCCCATCTTCCAGACCCTAATCTATTGGTTCATATATAATACGATTGACTTGGCCTTAAAGTCTTTATATTATAAGCTTTTCCCCTGCTCTGTTTTTCAATTCTCAATTCTTTCTGTTCCTTTTCCTTCTATGGTGAAAACCCTCCATTGTTTCCGTTAACAGAGAGACCTTCGTTCTTTTTATTTTATATTTCCTTGTTAATTTTGTTGCTATTTTTTGTTTTGCGGGTGACAATGGAACAGGGCTGTGACAGTATCGCTGTCACAGACGAAGGTAAGTTCGTTGCCTCCATTATGTTGGAGCTCCCCCATCTTATCTTCCAATCCGAGTTGCGCCGTCGATTCGGCTTCACCTGGGGCTCCAAGAAGAAGAGATCTAATTCTTATTCAAAATCAAAGTTTGCAGCCGCATCTTTGTCCACTACAAAACCATCACCACCACCGCCGCCGCCATTGCCCTCTAGAGTCGTCGGCTCTACTTATGAGACTGTGGAACCGTTGGAAAAGGCATTGACTTCGAGTCCCGCTACCCCTCTTTCATTCTCCCCGAGTGAATCTGATGAGAAATCCCCTCCGTCGCCTAAACGGAAACCCCGTGTCAATAATCTTAAAAAGGTTCTTTTATTTCTCTCTTTTTAAAATTTTTTTCTGGTTCTTTATAGCTTTCTCTGTTTACTGATTCGTATTGTTTCTGTTTTTTACCATGACAATTACACAGAAGAAAGAACAACTACTAGAGATTATAAATGAGTTTACTCGGCGCAACGATATACTGAAAAAACTGAATTTTCTTTCCTTTTCTCATATATTATCACATTGTCTTCATCTTTTACTCAGTCATTTTAATGATTTTCTACTATATTCCGACAGGATATAGAGAATAAGAAGCGTTTTTACGATCAACAAAAATCTGAAAACATGGAGTTGAAAGCAAAGAGACAAAAGGTGTTTTATTTTTTTCCCTTTCTTTTTGATCAATGGGTTCTTGATTTTATTCCCTCCTTTATTCATTTCTCTTTTAACCCAGATTTTCACGGTGACCGAAAACACCGGCGGTGGTCAAAATTTCCATCAAGAACCGTTGGTGAAGAGTTCCGAGCATCCAAGTGGTGGAATGATTTGCTGGGTAGCTTCAAACATTGGAGGAATAAGCAAGTTGAATGATAAGGTGGGACCACTGGGTCTCATCGATCTCAACATGCCTGCAGAGGAAGCTGACGAGAGCCTAAGCTTTGGTTCTTGTGATCTGGAAAGAGCAACAAAGGCCAGAGCTGCTGAAGCGAGGCTTGAGAGGAAGCAGATTTGCAGGTCTAAGAAATATAACTCCGCATGTAAAGCAAGTTATGCTTAGAATCTTTAGGAGGCAGAATCGCGGAATTGTAAATTGGAAGAGATTCTTTAGGAGAGAGATGATATCCGTTGAATCTTTTTGAGGAGGTTCAATTAATGATTCAATTAATTTGAAATTTAATGCATCATCTTCTTGACAACAATATGCAGTGTCTTTAACTATTTGTGCGGGGTCTTTTAGGTATTTAGCTAGATATAGAGTGGAGGGTGGCACGTGTGAAGGAGCGAAGAGGCTTTTTTTTTACTCAAATATAAACTAAAACAAAAGTTAACTTTTACTCTTTATAATTATTTTATTAAATTTTATTTAGACATTTTAAAATTATTTGATATTTAGTAATAATAAATTACTTTTATATGTATTAGAATAATTAGGTAATATATAAAATATATATAGATTAATAATATTTCAAAATCGTGGTTATTAGTGGGTATTGAAAGACTAGAAGTTAAAGAGCGGATACTATTCTTTATTTGAAAGTAAAAAGAAAAAAGCAAAAAGAAAACATCGTCCTAGGAAATACAATACAATAATAAAGCAGAAAATCATACAAGCACTATTATCTACACACCTACTATTTCTACTTTGTAGTAGTAAAACATAAGGCAGGGAAGGTTTTTATTCTCAAACATTCAATAGGCTGCGTCACATTTTCTTTTCATTCTCATAGTTCTCCCCCTCCAGACCTTCGTCCTCGTACTCGCCCTCATCGTCCTCCACGGTCGCATCCTGGTATTGCTGATACTCTGCAACCAAGTCATTCATGTTGCTCTCTGCTTCAGTGAACTCCATCTCATCCATCCCTTCACCAGTGTACCAATGCAAAAAGGCCTTGCGACGAACATTGCGGTGAATTGTTCACTTAACCTCCTAAACATCTCCTGGACTGATGTTGAGTTCCCAACAAACGTTGATGACATCGTCAGGCTCTTTGGTGGAATATCACAGACACTGGACTTCACGTTGTTGGGTATCCACCCCAAGAAGTATGATGAATTCTTGTTCTGAACGTCAATCATCTGTTCATCAACCTCTTTAGTGCTCATCTTGCCTCGGAACATAGCTAAGGCTGTCAAATAGCGACCGTGGCGAGGGTCAGCAGCACACATCATGTTCTTGGCATCCCACATCTGCTGAGTCAACTCCGGGACTGTGAGAGAAATGTAATGCTGGGAACCACGAGATGTGGGGTGCAAACCCAACATAAAGAAGTGAAGACGTGGGAATGGGTTCAGGTTCACAGCCAACTTTCGCAGGTGTAGGAGTTCAGCTGTCCGGGGAACCTAAGGGAGCATGTTACACCACTCATTGTTGAGGAAATCAAGTGGTTCAGATCTCCAACTGCAGGATTAAAAAGGAAGAGTTATTTTCACGTTTATTGCAAACCATCCATCAAGATTAATATTTTATCACTCACAGCTCGGATTAGTGAGCTTCAATGTCCGGAAGCAAATAACATAAAGTGCCTCATTGTCAAGAACCATGCATTCATCAGCGTTCTCAACCAACTGGTGCACAGAAAGGGTGGAATTATACGGCTTCACAACTGTGTCCGAGACTTTAGGTGAAGGGAAAACAGAAAATGTCATCATCATCCTGTCTGGATATTCTTCTCTGATTTTTGAAATCAGGAGCTTTCCCAAGCCGGAGCCGGTGCCTCCTCCAAGTGAATGGCATACCTGGAAGCCTGGTCCAGAAATAACGTAAACAAGTGAGATTGATACTGAAGCCAATGTTACAATTTACCATTTGATTGTTACTGTTCTTAGATTGATACTAAGTCACATGTTGTATGCATATATGCATGTTAGTTATGATTCCCCATGCTCATTTAGAGATCATTGTTGCTTCAAGATTCAGATGTTAAAATATTGGCCAAGCCATAATAATAATGCAAAGACTGCATTCATATGACGATGAGCTGTTAAGGGTCCCCAATGCTCCACCAAATTCCTTAAAAAAGATTATCAAGGCTCCAAAAGTATTGTCGATAGAATATAAA